TATATATATATCTTGTATAGTTCTCATAGGAGCAGGGAGGGTGGGCATCTTTATGTTGGTTCCGATCTTGAGAAGCATCTCCCTGTGTGCCTGTTGCTCTAGGTCTCAGGGTGGAGCCTCTTCCAACCCTTCTGGCAGGACCCTCGCCCCTTGATGTGAGTTGTGGGTCGTGGTTGACCTGTTGCTTTTCCACATCCTTTGGGATAATCACAGTCCGCCCTCTTATCCGTTGGGCTGTGATAGAACTTGTCATCTCAAGACCACCCTTTGCCTTCCTGGGACAGACCCCCTTGCTCATGGTGGGTAGTGTCATTTTATACCCAAATGGACTTGTTTCAGTTTTGTGTGTATTTTCGCAAGTGAGTTTGGCCTTTCCCTTGTGTACCTGCTGCCCGTGTGTTGGAGCGTCTGCCTCCTCAGCATGGGACGCACCTGCTGTCTCCCCAGCTGTGGGCAGGAGGTTGGATGCCTGGTCTTCCAGGGGCCGACCTCTTCTGAAAAACTGTCTTTTTTCCTTTCCTTTCGGAGGTAGGAGGAAAATTTTAGACTATTGATTCTGTTCCTAAAATCACTACTATGAATGTATTGAGTTTTTCTTTGTGCTTCAGAAGTCAGTTTTGGGAAGTTGTGTTTTTTCTGGGTTGGTTTTCCATCTCCGCTTTCGTGATTCTCATTTTTAACTGATTTCTGGCTTGTTTGTCCTCTCCACACTCACGCTGTGTCTGTCCTCTTGCTTTCTTGGGCAGGGCTCGCCAGAGCTTGCTCACCCGTCTCTGGGAGCAGGAGGGGTGGCTCCTCATGTCTTCCTGTTTCCATTTCACTAGGTGTTGCTTGTTTGTCTCTTTCCCCCAGCGTCATCCAGGTGCCCTGGACAGACATCGTTGTCAGTTTCAGGTGACAGCGTGGTGATGTGAAACTCATGGGTGTTGTGGGTGTTGGGCTGACGACTTGCCCTCCGTGGCCCGGAGCCGAGGCGGGGTTAGTGGGAGCGGTGCGCTTCCCGACTGTCCTCAGTGCGGTGCTTAGCACGTTACGGAGTCAGCCTTTCTCCTTTCTAAGACAATTTGGATAGAATGTCTTAGATTCTATTTAATAGAATCTAATTCTGTTAGATTCTAATTTTGAAAAACAGCGTAGTGCCTCCCACATTTTTGAGTTGAAATCCAGCAATTTTCACCCAAAGATCAGATAGCTAAAAGGTGTAATCTCTGGAATATTCAAAATAGGCAAGTTAGGAGCCTCATCGTTGCCAAAAGTGAATCGAGTGGAATCTGGGTAGTCGGGCTGTGTGACTCGGTGTCTCGGCCCCGCCCCCCCGGGCCAATCACTGTTCGGCCACCGTCGCTGGGCCTCGAGTGTTGAGGTTTCTTCCTCATCCGGTGGGGCTGCCCTTGCCGGCACGCACTCGAGCAGACGGATGCCCCTTGGCTTGAAGTGCCTTCCCCATGAGAGGCGTGTGCTGGGCACGTGTCTTCGGGAAACGGGGCTCTGCAAAGATGGCTGTGTTCCGTGGACGGATGTGCTTACTTCTTGCTCTGATGAGATGCTCTCTCCCTCAATCCTCTTCCTGGTTTTTGTTACTGTGGACGTGAATCTACAGCTTGATCGTGTATGTGAATAGATTGTGTAAAAGCAGTTTTATCGTAGCAGGTACTCAATTTCAAACATTTTGTTCCAAATTATATGCCATAGTCCCAGATTGATGTTTTATCAACTGACCTTCTGTTGGGCTCTCCCTCAGTTTCTCCAGAAGCCTAGTTATTTTTCATTTTAAGGCACCTTGTATATGAGATGTATTCAGAAAGGCTTGAGAAAATCAAAGTTTTAATCATTTTATTACCTTTGCCAAATACCGTATTTTAAAAAAAGTAAAGGGGCACCTAGGTGGCGCAGTCGGTTGAGCGTTTAAACTCTTGATTTTGGCTCAGGTCGTGATCTCAGGGTCGTGAGATAGAGCCCTGAGTCGGGCTGTCTGCTCAGTGGGGAGTCTTCTTAAGATTCTCTCTCTGCCCCTCCCCCTGCTTGTGTGTGTGTTCTTTCTCTCAAAGAAAGAAATCTTTAAAAAAAGTATTTAAAGTAAAACACAAAAGGAGAAAGAATCACAAATGCATGACTCTGGGGTACACACCCTTGTTACTGCTATGTACTCGAGAAGACAGAACCTGGCCGCCCCCTCCCCCAGCCCTTCCTGCAGCCCCTTCCTGTCCCTGGGACTCCCACTGTCTTCACCTGTGTGGGGCTCACCTTTTTACCTTCTTTCTGAACACCAAGGTGTGCCATGCCTTTAAAATTGCACGAGTCCTGTCTGTCTCTCCTCTTGTAAAGGTCCCTTTTTGTCTCTATCTCTTTGGAGTTGAACTGTTGAGGGAGCCGGATCCCCATCCTGCTGCGAGTCCCCTGGGCCCCTGCCCCTTGGCCAGGCTTGTGTGGCTGGCATTTCTGTGGTTTAGCGTGTTCCTCTGCCCTCCACCCGCTCCGCGTTGGTTGTTGGGCTGGGTGGGTGCAGGGTTGATGTGGGCGTGCTCAGCGTGGGCACTGCTGCTTCCAGGAGGTGCTGGGTGCCTGGGCGCTCTGCACCCACCCTGCTCCTTCAGGACTCGTGCAGCTTATGAAGTAGAATCAGCTCAGTTGAATGCAGCTTTTCAATAAATACTCTAGGACACCTTGAAATACGTTTTCATCAGAGCCTCGTTGCTCATGTCTGTGAGCTGTTCATGGCTCAGAGATCCAGACTCTGAGGAGATGGTGGCTTGTGTCATGAGGTTCAGAATCTTTATAAGCATGCGTTTCCTTGAAACCTTCAGATTGCTAAAAAATACTTCTATTTGCCTCATTTCACTGTTGAAATAACTGTGTACTTGTGTTAAAACACTTGTCTACAGGTGGAGAGATCCACTGAACTGTGTGCGTTCAGGTTCATGCTCCTTACTGCACCTGAATCGTGCCTCATTTGACAGTGGTCGGACAGACCACCCCCAGCAGAACCAGCACAGCCCCCCTGCAGCTGAAGTATGTAAATCGTTTAAGTTTTACAAAATGTGTGGCTGCGAGCAGAGTCCAGGCGTTCCCCAGCACCTTCTGTGGGAGAAGCTCCTGGGTGCTGCGACAGGTGTCCTCCCCTGCCTGCTGCTGAGGCCGTGTGACCCAGGGTCCTCGAATGCGCAGACCCACGGCCCTGTGCTCAGGGGCAGGCTGCGGACAGACTTGAGCATGGGTTCTGCACCGGCCCACACAAGCCCTTGGCGTCTTCCTTTAGGGTCTGACGGGGCTTTTCTGGCAAAGCCCCCCCGCCTGTGTCTGGCATGGGGCTGCCCTCTACGTCAGTTCCTCAGTGTTGGGTCCCTTTGCAGGACAGACACTCGAGCTGTGTCTTGCCACGAGAGGCCGTGTTGGTTCTGTGCATGGAGTGCGGTCTCGAGGACCCCAGGACGAGAGCAGCCATGTGGGAGGCGAGTCCTTCACAGTCAGCAGGCCGACCAGCAGCAGGATTTGGAACATTCTTGAAATGAGCTGGAGCTGGACGTGGTAGAGCTGGGGGTGTTCTGGCTGTTTTGATCACGGATCATTTTGTAAAACTTAAACGATTTACATACTTCAAAATTTGGTCTTAAAATTCCTTGGTTTCATCCTGACATTTTGATGTTGGCTATATAGTGAGGAGCATCTTGTTTCATTTGTATTTTCATTAAGTTCTTAGTTTATGATTGAGTTTATATTCTCTTTCAGTGTCTTTGTCTGGCAAAGTGATGAATCATTGCTTTGTTTCAGCAGGAACGATAGTAACAGGGATGGGGAAGTGTCTGGCTTTTTTAAACGATTATTCCCCCTGTGCAAGTGTTTTCACAAACCTCGTGCATTTTATAGTCCCTGAAGGGAAGCTGTCTCCCACGACTTGCAGCTGCCCGTGGTCATTCTAGTGAGGAGCAGCTACTCTGTCTGCAGTCCTGACCCCTAGCTGTCCCATCTCTTTCCCTCTTGAGGTGACCGAGGGGGGACCAGTACCCTCCGCACCCCACCTGGTGAGGCAGCTTTTCACGGTCACTGGATGTGGTCGGCATAACGGGGAAGGAAGTGAGAGCATCACTCAGTGTATTTTCCTTCTCCGTGTCTAATGTCTCTGGTAGACGCTGGCGTGACTTGCCCTGGTGGACCCCGTGGGTGGCTGGCGGTCGGGCTGGTCCAGCACCAGGGACGGCGGGAGGCAGCAGTTCGTGTGCATGGCTGAGTGCAGACGATAAAGTATGGACATTGGTTTGTGAAAAGTGACCCTGTCATTTCTAGTTGCCACGATGAAAACATGTTCGTGTGCTCCTTTAAAGCTAAACTCTTGAGTTTTTCCGTGTTTTAGATTAAATAGGATTGCGAATCAGGTGGCCATCCAGCGGAAGAAGCAGTTTGTTGAGAGAGCCCACAGCTACTGGCTGCTCAAAAGGCTGTCGAGGAACGGCGCCCCCCTGCTGCGGCGACTCCAGTCCAGCCTGCAGTCCCAGAGGAGCTCGCAGCAGGTACGTGATGTCTCCTGCCCCCCTGACACACTGGGCCGGCCCGGCAACTCCCAGGAGCAGCGCCTGCCACCGTAGGCTGCATGTGCTGCCAGCCCTCAGGCCCCAGGCTCTGGTCTGCGAGCCCCCATCCAGTCCGGTGCGAGGCGTGCAAGACCCGTGTCTGTCCCGGGCTGTGTAAGCTGCGGGTTGTGTGGGCCACTCCCATCTGTCCGTGCCACGTGATGTTTCTGCACGTGTTGGGGATGCCCAGGGAAGTCGTTACCAAACTGGTCATGCGGGGTGGGCATGCCGGGGGAGGGAGCGGCAGGAGGTGAGACTTGGGCCCCTAGGACGTGGGTCTGTGGGCTGGGCTGGGAGTTTGGGTTTTCAAATGTGCAAGGAGTGGTTTGTTTCCAGGGCCTTGCTCTGAAGGCCCGCTGCATGTTGACCACGGTGGGGAGGGAGGGAGACAGGAGCCCAGATGTGTGAGAAGAGACGGGATTTGCTTTTTATTTATTTTATTTATTTATTTTTAAAGATTTTATTTATTTATT